CATCGTTTCCGCAGCCGGTCTATGAGTTAGGACCCCCTTCGCCCCTTTTGGGTAATAATGCCACCGTCAACCCATTAGACGATCATTCCTAGGATCCCCCCTACACTTCACCGATATATCGCTACTACTTCCCCCACTAGATGATTATTCCTAGGGTCCCCCCTACACTTCACCGATATATCACATCCCCTATCCCAACCTAAGAATACCATCCTAGTAATACTCCAACACCCCTATCCAAGTGCCCATAGCCTAAACTAGGCAAGGGGTTTCTCGTAGAATTTGGTTCAGGGTTTAGGGTTAAGGGTTGTCAATCCCAAATCTCGCCAAGACAACCGTGCTGTACTTCGGAAAACCTCGAAACTCGAGAGCCGCCGCTACTCTGCTGAATCAATTGCAGATGGCATCCATCGTCACACCCGAAATCAACTTACCACACCCGCAGGCCTAGACAGTCTGAAACACCAACCTAACAAACAGCATCTTGCAGTCAGTTTCTTGCAATAAAGAAGCCACACACATCTATTCACTGTAGCACCACGTGAAACACCGGGCCAAGCTTGCTCTGAAGGCCGTCTGCTGCATCTTGGAAGCCGGGTCCGGTATGCTCGGAGAAGACAACTTGCTTCCGGCAGTGCGGGATAACGGATGGCCCCTAAACCCTAAACCCTAAACCCTCTCCATATCCATAAAACCCCCCAAGGTGAGGGTTGCTCCACGGAAGGAGGGACCTGGCTCGGTTCTTCCGCTGTGGTCGGGCTCGGGGCTTGCAGGGCCTTTAAGCCCAGGGCTTTGGGTTTAGGGTTTAGGGTTTAGGGTTTAGGGTTTAGGGTTTAGGGATTAGGGTTTAAGGTTTAGGGTTTAGGGTTTATGGTTTAGGGTTGGGGTGGTAGCTCTTATGGCATCGAAGGGTGTTGGGGGTTTTAAGGTCTTTAGGGAATCTGGGTTGTCGAGCTTAGCATGTCTGGAGCAGGGGGCATGCTAAAGTCTGAAGCCCCGTGTGACATTTTCCGTGATGGCCAGCTGGCACTGTGTTCGCTGATCAGTTGGCCCTTTGCTAATGTCTTCCGCAAGGTCTCCAACCAATACGGACTAAAACAGAAGCACTTATCGCTTCTAAGAAGTGTGTCCATTCACCTGGACACTGCAACAAATTAAGCAACAAATAGCTGACATCGCAGCACTGTTGCGAATGCAAGTTGCACATGTTCTCCAAGCTCATCAGACAGTGTCGGACTCCTTTGATGTTTCCGACTCAGTCATGCGGCCACCTGCGGAATAGGTCTTGGTTGAGCTGTGGTAACTCTCACCGTGAGTGTGCTCGTCAACACCACCAATCTCCTGGTCTTCTGGAATTCGAAGCTTGAACAGCATCTTCATGACTCCCATGATGATGGCAGTGCCCACAGCAGAGAAAGCCACACCAGCCAGCGCACCAGCAATCTGCTTGCCCAACAGCACGAAGCTACCACTGTAAATGAGGCCTTCGTCAACTGCAAAAATGCCCGTCAAGATGGCACCGGCAAAGCCACCAGAGCCGTGCAAGCCGAAGGCGTCAAGAGTGTCATCCACCAAGTTGATCCTGTTCACCGCCTCAACAGTGAGGTAGCACCAAGGAGCGCCCAAGGCACCAATGGCAATGCTCCAGCCAGGCGTCACAAAGCCGGCTGCGGGTGTGATGACCACCAGACCTGCAACGGCACCGACAGATGCACCCACACTGGTTGACTTGCCCTTCAGGACACGCTCAAGCGCGAGCCAGGTCAGCATTGAGGAAGCCGCAGCCACGAAGGTGGTGGCTACTGCACGAGCGGCTACTCCGTCTGTAGTGGACAAAGCAGAGCCACCGTTGAATCCCAACCAGCCAAACCAAAGGAGGCAGCCACCCAAGATCACGAAGGGGGCGTTGGCTGGGCCCATGTCCTTCTCAACGTGCTTGCGCGGGCCAAGGATTGCACCGGCAACGAGGCCGGACACACCTGAGCTGATGTGGACCACGGTTCCACCTGCAAAGTCGAGAGCTCCCAGCTGGCCAATCCAGCTACCAGGTCCCCAAACCCAGTGGCACAAAGGTGCGTAGATCAGAAGGGACCAAAGAGCCAGCATGATGCAGTAAGCACTGAAGCGCACGCGCTCCACCAAGGATCCGGAGATGATGGCACTAGCGATAATGGCGAAGGTCATCTGGAACGAAGCGAAAGCGAGACCTGGAAGCGTGTCCCAATTCTTCATATCAAGACCCGTCCAAAAGCTGTAGTCAAAGTTGCCAATGAA